TGTAGTCTTTGTAAATAAGGGAAATGAGCTGCATTTCATCCTATGTGGAAGAGTACTAAAGTCAAATGTCTTTAGGATCAAATACTGAGCATTGTAAGGCAAATCATCTGTAAAGTAAATCCTCTTGATCATCTCAGCTTGTGTGTATTGCATATTTGTCCAACTTTACAGTGACCAAACCAATGACTGTATAAAATATGGACGACGCGACAGCCCTTTTTCCCATTGAACGCCTTGAGGGCAAAACGCCTGCTTGACGGGCACAAACTGTCGCAAAAGACTGCTGAAATTGGAGCCAGACATGCGCAGAAGGACTGTCTGATGGAGCCAGAGGAGGAGCCGCGAAAATGAGCAGAGTCGAGCTTCCAATCAAACGCTTTATGTAAAATCAACCACGCCCCCCGAACTTCTCAGCATGCGTTTGCTGTCATATCAACACAAATGGATGTAATAACGTTAACAAATATGAGGGTTTTATATATTCAATCGCGCCAGCTCCAGGCCGCAGCGCACAACTTACTCGCGGCGTCGCGGGCTGATTCCGGCTCGCATGCGGCAGCGCCTGCTCGCTCGGCCGCCGCATCTGGCTCGATTGACTCGGACTGGAATCGGGCAGTGAGTCCAGGCATCCGGAGTAGGTCCAGCAGAGGTAACATTAGTCAGTCTGAGCTCTAAGAGATAAGTCTCCGGCAGGCGAGAATCTAGCCGGAACTGTGTTTTGCTATCTGGGTGGCTAGGCGTGTATCAGCAAACTAATAAAGCCCGAAAAAAGCCCTGAACTTAGCGAATAAACAGTGTTCCACCAGGATCATGTATGTCAGAAACTGTAGTTTACTGCTGAACTCATTTTGTCATGGTAAAATAACACAGAAATCGAATAATAACATTTCAGTCTACTTCAGTCTCCTGCCGAAGCTCAGACCCCGCGCTTTGAGAAACTGTCAATCACAGCTGTCAATCACGATGACACGCCCAGCATTAAATTACTGCTAAAAACAAACTGTTTACAAAAATGAAGATCTGCACCTATTTCAGCACAATAACCAGTGCCTTAATCGACCAGAACTATCTTTCGGGACATTTTATTGCAAGTGTAATATTTTTTTTTTTATTTGGGCTCAAGTCTCCTTCATTAACACGGAGGAGGCGGGCTTTATGACTTGTACTGCAGCCAGCCCCCAGGGGGCGATCTAACGGCCGAAACCTTCACTCAAACGTAGGCTTGCGGCACACTTGGACCAAACATGAAAGATCGCTGTTAGTTTTATGTTTGCTGGAAGATAAACATGTAATTGGGTGTACTTGGGGAAAAGAAGACAGTCTTGGTGTATCTCAGTGGATGACCTCTTGCCTCGCCATAGAAAAGATGGCCTATTTTTTTTTTTTGTAAAGCTAAATTAATACATTTTGGTCTATTTGGAAAGTACTCTTTGGGCTCTATTTTAAAAGTCTAGACCAGGGGTGTCTAAACTCGGTCCTGGAGGGCCGTTGTCCTGCACATTTTAGTTCCAACCCCAATTAAACACCCCTGATCCAGCTAATCAATCTCCTTCAAGGTATGCTACAAACATCCAGAGAGATGTGTTGAAGGAAATTGGAGCTAAACTATGCAGGACACCGGCCCTCCAGGACCGAGTTTGGACACCCCTGGTCTAGGCGCAAAGTCTAAAGCGCAGGGAGCAAAAGCATTAATGGGATGAATCCACTTTTGATATTTTAAGGATGGAAAAATACACTTTGAACCCGGCACATGGTCTAACAGGGCTGTGCTGATTCTCTTAATGAGTTCTGGGTGTGTTTTAAACATAATGTGCAATAAACCAATCAGAGTCTCGTCTTTCATTCCCATTAAGAGTCAGTTGCATTGTGCCATGGTGCATTTGCTATATACATGACAGACTTTGTAAGAGGAAAAAATGAACCCTTTACTAGTGAGAAAACACCTAAACAGAGCATCTGCAAGGTGAGGATAGAGAATGAGCCTCCTCCATTCAGCCTCTTTACTTTCTCTTTAGTTTTACTCTTTACTCCTTTACTTTGGTGGAGTAAGGAAATGGTGGATACTCACTCCACCGAAGACATCCATCAGCCCACATATTTAATTTCATTTGTTAAGCGCATAGATTTGTTTCAAAACTATTTCAAAATTCAGTTCTAATCTCCAGCAAAGGAATAAATGAACAAAAATAGCGAAGTGTGGTGAGTTATATCCCCATATGGGTTATTGTGCTCCATATGGGGATGCAGACATCTCCGAAACCCAACAGATGGACAAATCTAAACATGTTTTTAATAAAACATATATAAATATGCATATAATAAATAATACTAATAAAAACAACATTATACAGATGCAGATGGTTATAAATAAATTGATAAAAGCCCTCCGGGAGAACATGAAGAGGGTATGGAGGCAGTGGTATTATCTGTTTTTATATTATAGCATTTTTGATATTTATAGTATTTTTATATTCATTCATTTTCTTGTCGGCTTAGTCCCTTTATTAATCCGGGGTCGCCGCAGAGGAATGAACCACCAACTTGTTTAGCAAGTTTTTACACAGCGGATGCCCTTCCAGCCGCAACCCATATCTGAGAAACATCCACACACACATTTACACACACTCATACACTACGGACAATTTAGCCTATAAATCACCTGTAGTGCATGTCTTTGGACTGTGGGGGAAACCGGTGGGGGAAACCGTTCTAAAATAGCAACAAATCGAGCCGAACACGTCTTGTGCCTTATTGTTCCAGGTGTATGATAGGGCCCTAGGACTTTTTGGAGAGTCTAGGTGGTGACTCTTTTGTTGAACTGATGGACATTGAAAGTATTTAGATTAGACAAATATGTTATTGCTGTATTATTTATTATTATTATTATTATTATTATTTAGATTTTAAAGCATATTAAGTGAGTCACCAGGCCCTGCCCATGACCGAAACTAGCGCCCCATTCACACGGGGCGTCAGCATCAACGCTTCCCATTCACTTTGAATGGGTGACGTCAGGCGTTGCCGAACTGCATTGTGGATCCGTCGGCACCGCTTCAGAAGCGTTGCTCGCTGCAGAAGTTGGGACTAGCTCAACTTTTCAAGCGCCAACGGAAGCGTCAGCCAATAAGATCGCTGTATGCAAATACACCGGCTCAGTCAGTGGCCTATTGCTGACTGAATTTCATTGGCTGACACTTTATGAGGATCGCTTCAGCCCCAACTTCAGACACACCTTCAGTCAAGCATTGACGCTGAAGCCCCGTTTGAATGGGGCATAAGTCTATTGTGAAGTGAATTTGATGTGTGAATGAAACGAGTAAAATGATGGCTCAAGTGATGGATCTGCATCAGAGCAACTAAAATTTTGAGAAACACTCCTCACTACATCATTCATTTCCCAAATGATGCATGTTACTATGGTTGTTCAGCCATGAATTACGTTATTTGGGAGATCCATCGCAGGTCATCATTGTGAAAAAGAATGGCTTCTCAGTTGACTTACCTGGTTAAATAAATTGTATTATTATTATTTAATCACCCTTCACTTGTCTTGACTTTCTTTTGAATGCAAAAAATCTTGCAATTAATAACTTCTCTATATTATTTGTTTTTATTGCTATATGAGTCAGTGTTTACAGGTTCAACATTTTTTTTAAAAATATCTATTATGGATATATTATGGATATCTATCTAAATATCTATTATGGACCCAGCAACAGAAGTCATCATGTAAGGGAATGCGTGAGTACAACAAATCCTTTATTTACAATAATATTTGCTGAAAACATGGCAGAAAAACTCAAGGATGGTTTTATCAAGACTTTCAGAAAGAGGAAAACAATAGTGTGAGACTGATAACGGCAGCCAGAGGAGAGAATAATGTCAGATTTACTGTCCCGTGACCATTCTGCATTACAAACACCTTGCATAAACGGTAAATGAATAAATGAATTGTGCTGTAAACCTGACCTGTTTCCAGTGGAACGGTGTAGCTGGGCATGCTTTCTCCAGCGGAGGTTTTGGCTGTGGCGCTGACTTCATAGATGGAGCCACAGGGCAGGTCGGTTACCTGACAGGAAGTACCATTTGACTGACAGATGTGTGTGTCACCTACTTGGCCAATCACAGTGACGGTATAGTTGGCGAGCGTGTTATCTGAAGTCCAGGTGATCAACACACCTGACGTGTTACTCTGGCTCACACTGGTGATCTCAGGCATGCATGGAGCTTTTAGAAAAGAAGGATAAAGAGTGTGAACGTTATACACCTGTGACAAACAAACTAAGTGTGTGTACAGGTATATGTGGTTTACAGGGACACAAAGGTGTATAATCCCATGGATATGACTCAGTTGTTCTCTATTAAGGTGGTTTACGCAATCCATACTCATTGTGTATACATATCCAGGTCTACATTTTTTGGGAACTGCGAAATATGTACCCAGAACTATGTGCACTTGCAGTTTTTGTTTTGTCCACCAGAGGATCTTAAATTTCTCTCATACATGCCATTAATGCATCATCTCAAGTAAATCCACCAGAGGGCGCAATATACATTTCTGCCAACCAGCTTGCTGTCCGCCAACCGTCTGACCCACCCACCCCCTTCAATAAAAACCCAACCGATAGTATTTTCAAAAGCAATCTAGAAACGAAAAGCTGTCGTGGACACATGATTTTACCACGTTTTCACCCTGTTAATTATTTATTTGTTTGATTTTGTTTACATGGTTTCAGAAACCATTCATCACCGGAATAGATTCACATCATCACGGTCCACTCCATTCCACATCCAGGGTCCATCAGCGTATGCGACAAGCCACTGGGCGAACAGGTAACCCCAGAAAGGCCGTCCATATGGAGTTATGCTGTCATTTGTAGCACAAGAATTATAGCATTCATTAAACCAAATGCAACCA